TGAAGTGTTTTTGAAACAACTTGCAGGCATCCAAATCTAATCAAACTGCAACGTGTGTTCCTAACAAGTGAACGTAAAGTATGGTTGCTGTTCGATTACGCTGAACACGACCTATGGCATATTATCAAGTTTCATCGAGCTGCAAAACAGAAGAAGCAGCCTGTACTTGTACCGAAGGTTTGTTGTTGTCTAGTTTGAGATGTTTTCATTTGTAAAATGTGCTAATTAACTAGACTGGCAACGAATGCTTCATAGTTATTATAGCTTTCATGGAAAAATCCTGTTTACTTCGTAATGAATGTGATTGCATTATCTGAATTTGTATGGCTTTTTTTGTTCTTTTATGATGCGGTAGCTTTTTACTGTACTGATCGTGAAAAACTGAGGAGTTTTCTAGGGAATGGTCAAGAGTCTCCTATATCAAATTTTGGATGGTATTCATTATCTGCACTCAAATTGGATCCTCCATCGAGATTTGAAACCAGCGAATATCTTGGTAATGGGAGAAGGGCCTGGAGTGGAACGAGGAAGGTAGATTATTAAGAATTTTTTAAACAATCGTATGTTGAACATATTTGTATCATTATTACTTTACCATTTTTCTCGTAATGGATGTCATCGTTTGAATTCGGTTATATCATTTTGATGAGCCTTGCAATATCTGCATCATTATCACCGTTGCCATATTCATCTCTGTTGTTAATATCAGTATAATCGTTCTTTTTGATCTGATGTCTTTTGTTAATTACGTGTTCCTTTATATGAAACTGGGTTTCTAGGGTGAAAATAGCCGATATGGGGTTTGCGAGGATATTCCATAATCCGTTGAAACCACTGGCTGAGCTCGATCCTGTTGTTGTAACGTTCTGGTATCGAGCACCTGAGCTGCTTCTAGGTGCTAAACACTATACTAAGGTTTATTTTCTCTCAGATTGTTCTCTTTTTTTTCAGCTAAGAATTGAGAGGTTCAAGACGAACGGGATGCATTTTTGCCGTCTGATGCCTTTCCTAGTAAAAATTGGTGCGAAAGTTACTTTTGCATTGTGGTCATTCCAATTAGTTAGTGCTTGTTGTTGAGATGAAGTTGGATAGAATTTTGATTCCTCGCTTCAGATTTTCGTTGGCTAGTTCAATAATCCATATACCCGTGAGCTGGTCTTTGACTGTCAGAAAAGAAAATTGGTCAGTAATTATTGAGAGAAGTAGATCTTGGTTGTCGTTGATTGCAGAATCTGAATTCAGGCGATAGACATATGGGCAATTGGTTGCATATTCGCCGAATTGCTCACCTCTGAGCCGGTGTTCTTTTGTCGTGAAGAGGATATCAAAGCTTCAAGCCCGTACCATCAGGATCAGCTGAATCGAATCTTTTCCGTAATGGGCTATCCGTCGGAATCCGATTGGCAAGATCTGAAAAAAATGCCCGAGTATCAGAAACTTACTCAAGACTTCAAGCGTGCCAAGTATGTTTTCGTAGCAAGCATTTACATGAACATTCCCTTCATACTTATTTTTCATTAATGAATGTTAATGAATGAGATCGTGTGATCAGAAGTGTAAAGCTGTTATTCCCTTTTAGATTGTGTTCTATTCATTCTGTTCAAATACGCTGCTGCACACTCGAAAAACAGAGGATTAAGTTCATAGTTGTTTGATCGTTCGTTTATCATTTATACTGAATAGATTTTCGTTTGCAGTTATGCGAATTGTACTCTACAAAAACATATGGATAAGCACAAGATCAAAGCAGACACGCGGTCATTCTCGTTATTGCAACGTCTCCTTACAATGGACCCGATCAAACGAGTTACTGCACAAGAAGCTATGGACGATCCGTATTTTAAGGTACTTATTTCTATTACCGTTGACTTTAATATCATTTGTTACGTGCTACAGAATTTTTTCCGCTACATAGTGGATCATTTCTGAAGGTCTTACTGAATGTTATTAGAATCTGATTAGACAGACTATGAAATTAGACCGGCTGTACTGATTGTTGAAATGTGCGGATTCATGCCGATAATGTGAACGATCATCGAGGATATTCACGATATTCTGCTCGTAGTTTGTTTGAATGTGGTGGAATTTTCAGGAAGATCCTCGTCCAACAGCAGATGTCTTCAGTGGCTGTGACATTCCATATCCGAAGAGAGAATTTCTCTCGGATGACAATGACGATAAAAGCGCTTCTGCATCTAAAACTCAACAACCGCCACCACCGCAGCAAAGTCAGCAGCAGGTAAATTTGTGAATTACTTCAACGATGACTCTTAATTTTCAATGGATTTGAACTTAAATGCTTCATCTCAAATGTGGAATAGTTCTTCATGTAGTCGTATTTCATCCGTTCAGAATGATTCGCTGTGCGACGTGTTTGTTTGCTTTTTTTTTGAATCATTTGGTTATCAACGTATTCGTTCATCTGTTCTCGTAAATACCATTCTTCTGTTTGGTTATTTATTTGACATATTCACTTATTTTTTGATTTGTTCAGAACATTGGTGTGCACCCTCAACAACCGATCATGGAACCGGCCGCGAAGAAGATGCGTATGCAGCAGAATCAACAAATGCCACCCACACAACCTCAGGTCTGTAAATTTCTTTGCCTTTCTATTGTGTTCCTTCTGTGATGCACTCAAACAAAATAGATTTTGTGATTTT